TCTTCCCTCAACCCCCACTGAATTTGTGTGCAGTCTTGGGCTTCTTGCAAGAAAAAAGGGAACCTTTTATCAACCCAGGTTTTGGAGTCAGTCCTTGTTTCATTTTCCTAGGCAGTGTTGTTGCTGGCACTTCAGCCATACTGCAAATGCAGCATGTGTGGGCTTTTTGCTCACACAGTTTATTTAAGAGATTGATACAACTCAGACTACTGTAGGAAAGTCCCTCTGCTACAGAAATGTGTAATAGATATTTGGCAGTGCAACTCAAACATTTGTCTTGCTTTGTTCCAGCAGATGATTTGAGATTATTGATAGGACCAGCTCTGTGCAGTGTCTGCTGTTGAACAGAAATCTATTAAATATTTCATTTTGGAAGGCATTGAACTTCAGTTCTGTGTGATGTCCCTGTACAGATCCTCATCCCTTGGACTTCATAAGCCTCTAATGAATTGCTTCTTTGGGTATCTGGTGCCAGTTCTGTGCAGATGTTGGGTACCCCGGGGCATCCCATGTGTCTGTGTCAGGATTTGATTGAGCTCTAAGGAATCTGGTCATCCAGTGGCTGCTCTGTGTGCCTCTGTGTGCCTTGTGTTGCATTAGAGGAGAAGCTGTGGCTGCAGCAGTGGCACCCTCTGCAAGATTTGACCAGATTGGGTTATCCATGCATTGGCAAATAGTTGTGGGAGGGTGGCTTTTGTACTGACTTGCTTAATACTTGCTGGCACATGGGGAGAGCTCCCATATGGAGAAGTGTGCACTGTGTGTGGCTGTAGCCCATACAAAGGGACACTGGGACACTGGTGGATGCTGTGAAAGGAGCATTTGCATGGTTTAACGACTGGATTAGTGCCTGGTTGCACAGCCTCTGATTTGACTAAAGCAGCTGCCTTCTTCCCAGCAAAGGTCATGTTCAGCTCAGAGGCACTTAGTGTGTGTCTGAACAACTGGATGAGATGTAGCCAGCGAAAGAGTAGGCAGGGATCTGGGAGACTGCTCATTTAATTACAGTCCTTGTCTTTGTAGTTCCTCCTTTGAGACTGAGTCCAAAGCTGTCCATGTGGTGGACGTTTGACCATGTTACCTGAAAAGCCCCTTTGATGGCATGGATACATCTAAATGTTGCTGTGGGTTTGGGGGATCTATATTAACTAATTTTCTGTAATGTCTAAGTGTTCACCTCACAGCTACAAGCAAGATGTTGACTTAAGGGGTGAAAAGTCTCTAAATTGTTGGTGCTCTTTTGATATTTGCTGTCTGTGACCACTCACTCCTCATAAAACCACTTCCCAGGCATTGTCTATACAGTCAGGTATGTTGGCAGAAAATCATACATAGCAGTTATTAAATGGGAATCCTTTTAAGGTTTGAAAGATGTATTTTTAGGGTGTAGTCTGTGTGAAATGTTCCTTGGTTAATAGAAATGTAGTGATTATTGGGTGCATAACTTAGGCTAATAATCATATCTTACAGTACAAGAACTTGCTGTGATGTTCCTGATGTTAAATCCAGGCAGACAGCTCCAGTCCCAGTACATACGAGTGGAGAATGAATCTTGTTTATCATTACATCAGTCTGCAAAAAGGAGATTTGTACAAGCAGAATTGTTTGCGCGACATGGAGTGACTCCCATTGTATAGAACAGAACAGCACTCCAAAATTTCTCTCCTCTCCCTTGCCCTTTTGATGACAGATAGTTGGCAGTGGATCAAAGCACAAACAGGATTAATGTTTTGCATATTCAGTCCTACATGGCCTGAAAGGAGCAGAGATGGAATTTTTCATCTTTCACTTTAAACTGCATTTAATATCGTGGCCTAGTTTAGAGCTATGCGACTCATTCCTTCCATTTCCCCTGAGGCCTCTGTTTCTGGTCAAGGAAAGGAGGGCATGACTCCCTCTGGAGCTCATCAGTGCTGCTCAGCTTCCTCGTCTGTGCAGGCTGGTGGAGGAGGCTGGTTTGAGGCTGGAGCAATCCAGCATCAGGAATCTCCAAGGAGAGTTTGTGGAATCTGCCATCCCTTGGGTCTGTCTCTGTGGTCACATCACAGGTGCTGCAGGGTACAGGGAACCCGGAGCTGGGGCAGCATCCCAAATTCTTGCCACCACCTGTGCAAAGACAGCTGTAAAAGCCGGAGTGGTGTCACAGGTCACACCTCCAAAAGGCTGCATTCACTATGCAAGGATGCTGTCCGAGCATGTTCCTTCTCAAAGAAGTCCTCGGAAAGGAATGTTTGAGCCGCGTCTTGGCTGATGAATTGTTGTACTGGCAGCAATACTTCTTCGCCTTTGGAAAACGCTGGAAATGGCGAGCAAGCGTGGAGGTGCTGATTTTGGGGGTCGTGTCAGTGCTGGGGCCGTGTCCCCTTGGAGCCTGTTCCTCCCTGGAGCGGCACCTGAGCGGGCACATCCCTGTCCTGCCCTCCCCTCTAGCGGGAAGAAGCATCACTGCAGCCGCGTGGGCTCCAGACGGGCATTTGGGGGATGTTTTGTGGCTGCAGGATTCTATAGTGACCACAGCACAGCGGGAATGGCAGCAGCGATTGGGGAGGGATATGTGAAATACGGGATCATTGGCTGTGTCTTCTTTCACGCCATCTATCCCTGGATGCATTTGCAGAGGGGACAGCGGATGGGGTGAAGGTGGTTCAGATCTGAATCTGACCACACTGTAAATCCAGGACAAAACATGAAGTCCAGGGAAGGCGTAGGCTGCAGGCTGGTCAGAGTTGCTGAGGAGAAGAAGAGGAAGCTGCTGAAAGTTAGTTTTGTTCCAGGTAGCATCCAAGGTACTCGCAATTGGTCTCTTGATCAAATCACACTTGTCTACAGTTCTGTTTTCATAGTCAGTTATATTCTGAGTGAATGTGTTCCTCACACAAACCTGCTACATTTATGTCTGGTATCAAAGAGATGTAAGAGCTTCAGCAGAGACAGATGGTGATTAATTGGGCCATGTCTGGCCTCCTCCACACTGAGCTCCTGAGGGTTGAATTTTGAGGGGAGCTAAGATAATGATCTACATATTTCAGGATCTTCTCCTGTCACTTGTGTGACTTTTGGCTATGGCACACCAGGCTGGCCAATTGCTGTGACAAGGATTTCTCTTGGCAGGTAGAAACAACCATTCATTATAATATTAAAAATATTTGCACAGCTTGAGTTCCTGAGCAGCACAAATGAGACTTCAAGGGCTCTTTCAGTTGTTTTGCCTTGCTGTGGAGTTTGAGGAACTTGTTCTCTAGCTAAATACACTTTTTATTCAAAAACACCATCATGTCTTTAGCAATTCTACATGTAATGAAACATCTTCCCCTCCCTTCTGACCTGTTTCTCTTGCTCCCCCAAGTCAACTTCTTGTAAACCCACAGGGAACTCGATTGGAGCTTATGTTCTGGCAGGATTGCCTGCACTTTCCAGTGCTGGGGTGAGAAATGAAAGTACACTATCCTGGGAAATGCTGGTAATTAGGATTGTGGATCTTCAAGGACTTGGCTCCCTGGTCTTAAAATGCTGCGGCTGCTCCCATGGCTGCTCTTCATCTGCACTGTCTGAATGATGCAACAGCTCCTTTGCTGTTGACTGTGGAGTTCACTGGTGTTTTCATCTTGAAAGGGTCAGGAATGCTACTTCCCTTATCGAGTTGCTGAGCCAGTTCTCAGGAATGATGAGTAGAAGATATTCCTGCCAGCTTTTGTTTGGTGTAGATGGTCTGCAGGTTTTAGCTTGAATTTGTGGTTGCAGGTGGCTCCAAATGAAGGATTTGGTGGTGCAGTGGTGCTCTAGTCCTGTTCTTAGAAATAGAAGACCAGTAGCAAGGAGCATTTTCTAGTTACTCTCATCTATCACAGATTCAGATCATTGAAATAATGAGAAAGACTATCCAGCAGGAGCATCTGCACTTTACTCTGATTAAAAAGTGAACTAAACTGGACCACTGTATCCAGTAAACATAAAGAGTGTAGTTCAGAAGAGCTGTACAGTCTCCCCTGGGGTTGTTCATGGGAGACCATCATTGGAGCCTGTTGCAGAGGAGTCTGGGCCGGGGGCAATGCTGGAAGGAGGGCACTGTCACTGTGTCACTGCAAATCCAGCTTGTGAAACACTCTCAGTGGCACAGGTCTCTTGCAACCATCTTGCTGGTTGTGGCTTGAAAAACTTAACACTCCAAAGGAGACCTGCAGAAGGGAAGCCTAGAGCAACCAAGAACAAAATTATCTTTTTCCTTCATCTATCTGAACTCTGGTTTTCATGGGATGCCTCTGCCCTGACAAAACCCTTGATATGTTTTAAAATGCTTTTTACCTGTGGACCTACACAAATATAGTAAGTTTTCACTAGTACAACAGATCCTGTACCCCATCTCCAGTGCCTGACGGGGTGTATGTAAATGCACATTAAAAAAATCTGTAAAAGCAGAATTAATTGCTGAGATCTCTCTGCTGAGATATTGCTTTGGGCTGTAGTAGGTAGGCCTAGTAAAATTCCACAGCACATTAGAGATTGTGCATATTAATATCTCATCTAAAGCAGTGTAATATGTCAGATTTCTCCTTTCTGGTCATATCTGTGCTCACTCAGTCTGATTCGTCAGGTTTATTACATGCTAGTTTTGTGGATTTTTACACTTGATTGCTGACACTGAACTATGAATGAATATGATCTCCATAAAGGTAATAAAAACCCAGAGATTTTTGCCCAGAAGTGAACTATGTGTTTATCTCTTGGCCTGCCATGTTTGGCAGGGGTCACTGGAAGTCCGTGCAAAGGCATGCAAAATCCTGCAGGGGCAAAAATTCCTGTAACACTGAGTTTTTAAAAGGCTTTTGGGAGAACATGAAGTGACAGCTGAGCAGAAAGTGAGTTCCTTTCTAGTGACAGCTGCATGCAGGAGCAGGGAAAATTCCCCTTGCCTTACACAATCAAACCAGTGAAATGCAAGCCTTTGCCTTCTGCATGTATTAAAAGATATTAATGTTTTTCTCCTTTCTTTATGTATGCAGGAGGCAGACAGTGGGGAAGAAGAATGCCGATCCCAGCCCAGAAGGTAAGATTGTCACTTGAGGCTCACAGGAGTCCTCGGGGATGCCTTGCTGCATGGAATGTTCCACAGGGCTTTTGTTGTTCCTCTGGCATGTCCTGCAAACATGCATCACTTTCTGCTTGTGGTTGATGTTGCACAACTGTCTTAAATAAGCCTTACTGAAAAATGGGTTCTAGTAAAGTGTTTGCTGCAGCAGGAAATGGGGGAAGTCAGATTGCACACTAAAAAATAAATATGGGGAGCAGTTGGCAAAGATGCTAGTGAATATATTCTCCAAACTGCTGTTTCTGTAGCTCCCTCCAGTGTCCTGTGTTGCTTCTCAGGATTTAGTCCACCATCAGAGTATTCTGAGAGGCATAACCAGACTAATACACTCTTTCTCTCTGGTTAAAAAGTCCCTGTTCCATCAAGGGTTATCCTGATCCAAACAGGCACCTGCTGCTTAAATAGCACATTCAGTGGATTTATGGATATTTGCTGCTGATGCAGATAGTCAAATTTATCCTCTAAAATTAGGAGACACTGAGAATTTGCAGGGATTTTTTTGTTTTATTGGGATTGTTTTGCAAGGAGGTGTTCACCTCTTGTAAATGCTGATTTCAGTTGCTTCAGAAAGAACTTCTTGTGGTAAATGTTATTTGCTAAAAAGTAAACATTGAAACTCAGCTGATTGAATGGTGACAAGTAATGTTGATTTTTATAATGTAGGTATAGTCTGCAGGGTAAAACTTCCTGGGGTCTTGGAAGCTTTATCTCCTTTCCTCAAAGCCATCAAAATAATTATTTCAGCTGAACTTAATAAATGCAAAAATTGTATCTATCAGGTGACTTCTCCAATGGCACGAATGCTTTCTTGGCTTAAAATGTTGCAGTCAGATTTTGTGGAAAGTTTCAGATTCCCTCCAGAGGGAGTAAAGGGGAAGTGAAGGTGAAATGGCTCTCCCTTTATGAGCTCTCTGACTGTTACGGTTCTTTGCTTTATGGTGTTTGTGTGAGTGGGTAGCAAGAGAAGCCATAATATCTAGTATTTAAAATACTTGAATGAGATTTGGGCTTTGTGTTTTGGGGCCAACTTGAAGGAATCTGCAAAAGAAAAAGCTGTCCTGGTTACACATTCCCATGATTTCGGTGTAGTTCTGTGATTCTGTGGCTCAGGGAAGGTGGCTGCCCTGTTTACTTCAGTCTTCAACCCCTAAATGATGATGTAAGAATTGCTCTTTCTTCATTTTACAGCTTTCATGAGTGAGAGGAAAGCTGGAAAGCACAATTCCCAAAGGCTCAAATTGAACTCAGCTAAAGTCTGATTTTTCATTTCACTCTTGGCCTTCCAGCAGTCACAAGATCAATTCATGACTTGATCTCAGTATACATAATGTACTGGAAGGGATGGGAGTTATTTAATTGTTGCAGGCACTTAGCAACCATTGTAGGTTAGGTCTGAAAAAAACATTTTTTAAATATATTTGAAATAACTTCCTGGGGTAGGAAATGACAACCTGCTGTTGATGTGGTGATCTGAGCTCCGTGACTCCTGTTACTGGGGTCATGGAGCTAACTAAAACCAAACTCCTTCTGGGGGAAAACAAGGGAGTTGGTGTTAAATGTGTTTGATTACAGTAGGATAAAAATAATAGAGTCAAAGGGGGTAAGTAGTGAACCTGGAGTCCTGCTGTGGAGGAGCAGCAGATGTCCATAAACAGTTCCTGAGTATATCTAATCCCCAGTTTTCACAGGAGCGTAGCATGTAGCAGCTATTGAAAATCCAGGCAGTAAAAAGGCTACAGATTGAGTTTGGCTTAAAAGGAAAGATGTGTTTCCAGCTCCAGTGTCAGGTGGTGCTCTGCAGCAGCCTGACATTTCTCTCTGCTTGCCTGGACAGGGCCCAGTTCTCCTGAGGCTTCATTCAGGTGACCTGGCTGCAGCTCCAGTCAGTGGTCAGTATTTGGGGTGGGATTTTTTTTGCTGTTTGTAAAATTCTTATGGTGAGGAGACCTTTTGTCTCCTGTGGTCATGAAAAATGTGTTCACATGCTACCTAAGCATGTCAGGCATTGGGCATGTCCAAGCTCATCCTGGACACTGAAGCCAGGACTATTGCTGTGGTAGGACTACATGTGTGTTTGTATAAATAAGTTAACTTTTCAAAGGTTATCAATACTTAGGTGTTAATGCTTGCAAGGGAGTTAGTGAAGACCTAAGCATAAGCACATGGACTTGTTTGGTGTCAGAAGATTTTTGCAGTGGTCAGTCTTGACAATCATTGGGTAGAGCCTTCATTTCCATTCCCGTGTCCCCGTGTCTCTGCACAGCCTGGGGATTGCTATCTCAGAAGACATGTTACACTGATCAACAGCACTGCTAATCCTGTGGTTAGCAAAATCTAGAGAGCTTCCTGTGTTAGGTTTCTGCTGCTTGTCTTTCCTCCCTGATGAGGTATGGGATGTATATTGAGGTGAGGGGGAACATGCAGGAAAGCCTGGCAGCAGGACAGCAGGAGGGACAGTGTTTGTTGAGCAGAGACTATGAAGAGCAGCAAACTAAAATGTCCTCCAAAGAGGCAGAGAAATAAGTTACAAACAGGAGCTTAAGCTTGTACATAATTACATCAAGATTACCATACTTAAACAAAGTGATCTGTTTGCTGACTTGTGCTTTTTAAGATCTAACACCAGACAGGCCTGTGATTGCCTGGACTGGGTCTCACAGAGAAGGGAGAACTGTGTGAAAATGTTGTTTAAACATAAACCTGCTCTACAGAGCATTCAAATGACCTGACAAGTCTGCACTTGTTAGCACCATCATGGACTGAGAAGCTTTCTGCTTTGGGAATTGGCAGAATCTGCTTAAAACTTCTGTCCAAAAGATGGGCAGAGCTATCAGAGTGCAGAAGGAGTTCCTGTGTCATCTTGCAGTCATTCTTGGAAGGTGCTTAAAATGGCATTTCCTGTCCAACTCTTTTGTGTTGATGCAAAGAGGAATGGTTTATTTTCCTACTGAGGAAAGTACTTGGGTACAGTGAACACAGATCTCATTTCTATAAATATTTCTATCCATTATTAAAAACCCCAGCAAGTTAATGCTGCCAGTATCTGAAGCTGAACAAATAGGTGAAACCAGCTTGGCTTCTGCAATATTTTTTCTCACACCCAAGCCCTGCTCTGGGAGAAGCCTGGGTGGTGTCTCTCCAGCTGTAGCAGTGACCATTCATGCAGTTTATGGGTGAAATCTCCAAAGCCCCGACACAGATCCAGGTTTTTGCTCTGGAGTCCCTGATCAAGCCAGTCCCTGTCACCCTTGGCTAATGGAACTAAGACTGCTGTGTAAGCAGATGTCCTGAGCAATCTATTTATTACCTTCATAGCTATGTTCTGACACTTTCATTAGGCTGTCTGGAGGCTGTGGAGCTAAACTGGCCTGCACATCTCTCCTGTCCCCAGACGTGCTGCTGCCACACTGAATACACTCTTAATGGAGCATCTGTGTTAACAAGCTCTTTGCAGCATCCCGAGGTTGTTAAAATTTACCTAAAATGTACATGTATTGAGCTGTGAGTTGTGTTTACACCTGCTGAGGTATTGACATTCAGGTTTTGTGTGCTCTGTGCCAAGGTTGTAAGGATTCAGCATCTTTGTTTTGCTGACAAATGACATCGCCGGGGCCGGGGCAGCAGCGGTGCTGCAGCTGCACTGGATTTGCTGTCAGGATCTGCCGTTTGCTCTTTGGGTTTTATGTTTTAAATGGTACCACTCTTTCCACACCATCATGATTTTACCACTTCTGTGTGCCTTGAAACCTCACTGGTTGCTGAAATGCAGCATTTGAGGCTACTCAGTAACTGCTGCATATAAAATTGGGTGAGCTGTATTGCCTAGCGAGGCTGCTAGGGACTTCAGAGGGATTCTTTGAACTTTTATGGGACTAAAGTCCATTTGCTCAGGTAAAGCTGAGGAGCCTGTCATTCCCTTCAGGTGCCACAGAAAGTGATTACATCCTGCTTGAAATGTGGTGCTTGTTACCTGAAAAGGTTCTCAGAATGTGCTTGTCCTCCCCTCTTCAAGTGGAGGCAAGAGTGTGGTGTTAAATTATAATTTAAAAATAAGAAAAACCCACGCCTTTTGCAGCACAAGTATGGTTACCTTCTGATTTGTTGTTTTTTTTTTTTTTTAATCAAAATAGTTCCTTCCAGGAGTGAACTGGGAAGGAAAGCAAATCAGATTACTGCCATGATAACAGTTGGATGTGCCAAGTTGCCTCAAGGTCTCAAGCTGTGAGTAAATACCTTTGTTTTAGGAGCAGAAGACCACAGTCTGATGCAGGAGCTGATGGTTTATAGCAGTATAAAAGTTGTTTTTCAAAGAGTAAGTGGAATAGGTGCATGTGCTTCCTTCTACAGGGCAGCAGCTCAATAAGCTGTAAGCCAACCTGTTTGATTTTTAAACTGAGACCGGCTGTAAAATGTGTGTTAGTCCCTGCGAGAAATGGGGGGGGTGGTCGTGTGAGACTGAATTGACTGCAGTTCCAAAGGCTCATTCACACTCCACACTGGGATGTGTGGATCTACAACATCATGTGACTGCTGTGACTTTTGGAGATGTGTGCCACCACCATTTGGTGCTCCTGTGGCAGGCTCCTGCCACTCCTGGTTTTCCTTAAAACCTATCTGGTGTTACAAGAGACACTTCCAAAAGCTGTGTGCTGAGAGTTCTGGCAACTAAACCTTCCTTGTGCTGCCTTTGCTTGCGACTGCAGCTGCCAAACATTTACTGTGTCGGTACTTGAACAGTAGCTGGGTCTTTAATGGCTGTGCAGGACAGTTTGTTAACTCCAGATCTTGAGTAAGAAGGGGCTGTGTGTGTACAGGAAAACGTGTGTTTATCCATGCTGGAGATTACCAAGCTCTTGTAGTATTAACCTTATCTTTAGAATGTGTTTCCTGAATTCATCTTTCTGTCTTTCCTTTCAGTGACAGCTCAGCCTCTCTCTGGCATTTATTACAGCTGCTTG